ATAAAGGGGGGACTCAATACACATACACTGACTTTACTTGTATCTAGATGGACCAGTTTCCTACCATTTGTTGTGGTAACAATTTTTAATGATGAAAACATTCATTTTACATGAAGACGATAAAAGGCAATGACTGGCGAAATACTATAGTTCAATGTTGAGTGCAAAACAGCTGGACACAGTGGCCTGTTAGCGCATACAACGGCTTGATTTCCATCACCTTCACCCCATATGAAGTACTCTTAAATGATCAGATCTTCCGCCATCATCGATGACTATTGTAGCCTACTAGTGACATTGTTGGCCAGGTTTGAGTCCTAAAACCATCCTCTTTACTGAATAAAGGGACTTTTCACCATCACTGTGTTACTAAGGAAGTTCGCATGGGGACGCGGTAGTTACTAGCACAGCTAGGGAAGGAGATGGCAGAACGGATTATAAATGAGAACCATCGAAGGTTACAAGGCACCTGCTGGCAGAATCCAACAGGACCGAGAGGGAATGTCAGTGCCCTGATGCACACGAGGAAGGAAGGAAAGAAGAAAATGGAGTTCACGCAAATCTTTTTTTTTTTGGTCAGTTGTGGGTCCTGAACTCTGGGCCTGGGCGCTGTCCCTGCGCTCTTCAGCTCAAGGCGAGCGCTCTACCACCTGAGCCACAGCGCCACTTCCGGTTTCCTAATGGCTAATTGGAGATCAGAGTCTCACGGACCTTCCTGCCCAGGCGGGCTTTTTGTGAACCGCGATCCTCAGATCTCAGCCTCTTGAGTAGCTGGGATTACAGGTGTGAGCCACCGGCGCCCGGCCCCACAAATCGTTAGCGTCAAGGGTGAGAACACAAGTGGGAGCGCAAGCAGGGCGCAGATGAACCAGCTGGCTGGCTGCTTTCCGCGAATGTGGTGGTTCCTGGTTGATTCTGGAACTCACATTCGCACAGGAAGTAGACTTTGTACAGACTTCTTATGTATGAGAAGAGCATGAGACATTCGAATTCTATTTGTGACTCACATTCCTGCTGCACATGTGTGAGAGGGAATGCGCAGGCTCACTGAGGCCATGGGCTGTCCACCCCCAGAGCGATACTCAGCACCCCACGTTGCTCAGAAGTGAGCAAGACACCGGGGCACGTGTGGAGCCGAGGGCAGACTGAGCTCTATCCACACCAGGCTTCCTCTCTCCTTCCACCCCGCAGCACTGCCAGAGAGTACGGGGCAGCCCGGCCCGGCCCGTTCTGTGCCCTGATGCCTCCTTCACCTCGTTCCCCTGGGCTCTGGGATACTTATTAAGGAAAATAAGGGTCATCTGAACGTACACTCCGAGAACCACAACAATCGATCTGACTATGGTTTTCAAATCCAAGAATTCAAGTATGATCATGCTGGGTGGCGAGTGTGCTTGGCAGCTTCTGCGCAGGTTCTCCAGCTATACGCTTTACATCGAGAGAACGAACACATGGCTCTTCCTGCCCCACCGCGTGCCGCGGCCACCTAAGCTTCAGGGGCCAAAGAGGATTTTAGCTTCAGGTTATCAGTTACTCTCATCCCAGAACCATTTCATGATTAGAGACCTTGATCCAAACGCCTAAGACAGTATTTCTATTTTTGTTGAGTTTTGGATGGAGAGTCATCATTAAAAACCCTGAGTGATGAGACAAAATACGAGTGCTTCGTCATATATATTCCAGACACTGACAAAAAATGCTACTTTATTATGAGAGAACATTTTTTAAAGTACTGAATACAAAGAGAATGCTTCCTTCCTCCTCATTGAATATCTGGAGGTTATGCAGCTAATAACAGTGTCCAGTAGCTGGGATGATGGGATGTCAGTTATCTTGCAAACAACACCACTTTCAAAAATGGAAAAGTAAATTATTATATTTTACCTTTACAGGAGTCCCCTCCAGTGCATTTGCTAATTATCAGTCAATCTATCTCTTGCTGCTGCTGCTACTTGTTAGGATGTAGCAGCAGTGCTCCAGAGGCTGCTGTAATTGAAGGTTTGCAAGAGCATCTAGCTGAGGCACATACTCCGACTTAAGACAGATGCGACCAGCCTTGTTTTTAACAGGACTGAAATAACTGAAAATCTGTGATTTGGCTAATTGCAGGCTTCCTGAAAGTATCTTAACACAGGAAAAAACTTTGGCCATCCTCTGAAAAATACCTTCCTCGAGTCTGCTTCTCAGCCCATTCTAAATGCCTCTTCTCTCAAGTTCTAACAGACCAGAAACAGCCATCAGTAGACCATCGAGTAAATAACTGATCTTTAAAAAATACTTAAGAGCTAAGAAATGAAGTGAAATCAATTCTTGTGGCAGAGGTATTAGCTTAGCATTGCTTGTAGGAGAGGAGACTCTCTGGAGCCACATGTCCAAAAATCTGATAGCTGAAACTCGGCTCTGGGTCTTTTCAGTAGTGCATTAATACGATCAAGACCGCATTTCCTCAGAGCCCTCTCCCTCCTATCCTACCAGCCCACAAGAAGCGGCTCTGGAAGACACACAGCGTGGCTCCCTTGGTTGCTTCCTTCGCCCATGGGAAGGGAGGAATGCCCTGCACACAAGCTCCATCCAGGGAGGGAGGCCCACACAGGGCCACCGGCGCGTCCCCAGCTGCCATCTGTCCCCTGGGCTTTTCCGAAGGTATACACCATGTCGGAACCTCAGACTTTTGCCTTGCTTTTGGCCACCATTTGCTTTTTTGGGAATTAAATCTTCCCAAAATTAAGGCCATGGCAACAGCAGATGGGTTTTAAACAAAACGGACAATAATGTGGGACTGACTGAAAGCTTCCATATATCAAAGGAGATGCAGAATGCACATGCAAGCTTAATGTTTTGCTTGAAAGTTCAGGTAATCTGCATTATTATTATTATTATTATTATTATTATGTCAGTTGTGGGGCCTGAACTCTGGGCCTGGGCATTGTCTCTCAACTCTTCAGTTCAAGGCTAGCGCTCTACCACTTGAGCCACAGTGCCATTTCCAGCTTTTTCTGCTTATATGGTGGCTAAGGAATCGAACCCAGGGCCTCATGCATGGGAGGCAAGCACTCTACCACTGAGCCACCCTCCCAGCCCTGTATTATTATTTTGAGCCTGCAGGTCTATCTTGGTGCTCCATCTGGAAGGCGGGTACTTACATAATGCTTTAGCTTTTCTGCAGATACCTGGGTTCATCATAGTAACTTCTAGGTAGGCATTTCCTCCCACAACAATCCCATTATTTAAAACCAAGAAAGACTTTCCCTTATCACAAAATATGCCATAAATGGATTATACCCACTTAGCTGGCATTCATTCAAAGAAAGTGTTCAGAGTATTCAGAGTATGTAAGTCAACAGTAGTCTAAGTAAAAGATTATATTGGAAAACCTAGAATGCAACATAATCCTATTAAAACCCCACCCACGGGCAACAGCATTAAATTATCTACTGTTCAGACACCCCTCCAGCCATGTCAGTAATCACAGGTTTATCACACAGGTGACGAGATTATTTAATAATGCTTTAGAATGGTTCATGCTAGGCACTCAACAGTTTTGTTGTGTGAAAATAAAGATGTAATTCTGGAATTTTAAAGTAAGCACACTTGGTCTTGGGAAAAGACTTGACAGGGACCAAATAAAGGAAGATAGTCTTAATGAATTAACAATTCAGTCTACTGATTTTTTTAAAATTCTTTAGTGACCTAAACTTAGGCAGTTTAACTTCCTTGCCACTGCTCACCCTATGCCATCAACAATGATGCTTTCTTTACCGTTTCAAACTCATCATAAAATTGCTAAAAATCTAAAATTCAATTTGCCACATTACTGCTAATTTGAATAATGGCTGAATAAAACACAGGAAACGCTGAAGCAGCATTGATTTCTAAAACATTTTGCACTTTCCTCCTCCATCCCTGTAAAGTAAAGCTTGGATGCGACGCGCAATTACACAAGAAAATCAAGAAAGCCATTACGTTCAGCATTTTGTCATGGTCATTGTTACCATGGCAAACAGTAGGCTTAGTTTAGCACAGCCGCTACAGGCCAGGTCCGCAGGCCGTTTAGAAGGCTGACTTACAACACAATGACAAATTTCTAACCTGCCACTGTTCTTGTCTTTTTTTCTCTAGGACAGGGTAATGGCTCACAGATGCTACTGTCTCCTGACAATCTCAGTGTTTTTACCGCTATCTTGTTTGGGGATAGTAATGGAGGACCACAACTCATCTAGGAAGTTTATCATTTGACCCACCTCCTGTTTCCAGCAAGGACAGGAAATCTACCAGTGTTTCAACAGCTGCACTATGAATGGCACTGGGGGTATGCTGGGAATCTGGGAATGGCACAGCACAGTGTGGCGAAAAGAGGCCCCAGAGCCCGCAGAAAGCAGCTTCCTCCCCCGAGGGCTGGCTATCTGTAAAATGAGAATGAGATGGCCTCTTCTAGGCAGGAAAGCAGGGAGGTAGTTGACAAAACTAGCTTTCTAAATTGCTGAGGTTACCGTTGCTCCAGGAGTGCTGGCAGGAAGTGGGAGGGAGGAAACGGGTTCACACTGCTCTGAAGTATGTCATTCCATCTTTTATATGGTCTGGATGTGTTCCTCCGAGCACTGGGGGTAACCACTTTCTATAGTCAGAGAGTGAACCTAAGTTTCACACCAAAAAGTCCAGTGTATGTATCGTAATATGCACTAAGCCTTGTTAACCGTATTTTAAAGATAATATACTATACATAAATATACTATAATATACTAATGTACTGGGAACAGGAAACAGAAGATACACTAATTTGAACTCATGCAGAGATTTTTTTTTTAGTTTTAAAAAATGGAGCAACATGACAAAAGTAGAGATGTTTAAATTATCTGAAATGAATACATGCATCAAGTTTCTCTATTTACCAGGAGAAAAGAAAGCAACTAGCATTTTTACCAGCCAAACAAAGTACTATTTTGCTAATGAGATTTCAGCTCAGTATCGTTTATCTTCTGAGAAAAATGGTAAAGCCTTACCTGTTCCAGTAGCTCCAGAACTGGTCATGCAGGTAGGCGTGGTGGCTGCATTCATCACCAAATGAGGCTTTGCTTTCAATCCAGTGAATGATGTGTCCTTCTACAGCTAGGGGACAGAGCATTACTAATGTACCCCAGGGAAAGGGAAGATGGGAAATTCTGAGCTGACACAGGCCTCTACACCTCCCACCAAGGAGGAGCAGTGGGCATTAAGTAGAGATGCGGTTATAAAACAACCCATGTGTATGTTCAGCACAGGAAAACCAAAGCGCTCATCACATCCTCTTATTTCCACCACATTCTCCCAGGTGCTCTTTCTTCCTTGGAATGACAGGAGACATGTCAAGCAGACCAGTGTGAGTCTGGCTATCCATAAAAAACTCAAAACTCAGAGAAACGGGTTGAAAATGGCAGCCGAAATGTCTTAGCAGGGCATGTTCATTGCTCGAATATATGCAGAAGTTTGCTGGGCTCAGATTTCATCTGAGCCTGTAATTTTCTGCTATTTCTAAAGATAATCTTTTCCAACTATTTCACCTTTTGGCTAAAATTTTATAAAGCTAATCAACTCTGATAACATTTTCTAATATTAACACAATTTTTAAAAGATTGGGAAAAAATACTGATTTTCTCTATAAATAAATGAGTACCAGAGAGTGAGGACTTACCAACTGGTACTTGTAAAATAAAGTCTGGCGTTTTGTCATAACCCTTTGCACGGAGCTGATCTTCATCTACGGGAAGAACAAACACCATTACTTACAACAGTGTTCCATTAACAAGACAGCAACATAATTGCTTTTCTTTCTTAAATATGTGTAAAAATTACTAATGCAGTCTCACGTAGCTTTCTTATGCATGCAATGCTGTGTCAGAATAAATGAATTTTCCTCTCAAACCTGAAGCATAGTCACAAAAATGCTTTTTTGTCCCCTTTGCATTTTTTGTATTTATTATAAACATCATTATTCCAAGCTGTCATCAGCTATCTTTTTTTTTGTAATTGAAAATACTCAAAATAAAGAAATAAGCTTACTGATTGAAAGAAAGGATTCTACTCCCATATTCTTAAAATTTTTCATTGTTACCAGCCAACACTGACAATTTCTAGTAAGTCACAAGCACAGGTCTATACAATTATGAAATAAATGCTTTCACTAAAGCAATTAACCAAGTTTAGTTTCAATTAGTTAAACTATCTCTGTATACAAGGAAAGGACAGGACAATGAAAACACCACAGAAAATTAAGTCCTTTGGTATGCTACTGCTTCTGGCATTTATTAGGACTGTACAGCTATGCATGTACAGCTGTACAATGAGGAATTCTGAAAAGCATACACGTCTAAAAAGATTGTTTTTCCCTAGGATGGTTCAATTTCTCCATCGTTTGTAAACATCAATGAATCATTTGGAATGAAAGGGAGCACAAAAACAGAAAGCTTGACCAAGTTGGAAAAACCTGCTTGATAAAAGAAGGAAAAAAATATCCTCCAGTATCTCCTAAATGCTGTCCTTGACCTGTAGCAGCATTGAAGAAATGGGGGCTCTCCGTGGGAGTTTGGAGTGACCTGGTCATCCAATTCCAGACATGGCTTTCTGTCTTCACCCAGCCTCAACTAATGGCCCAGCCACGTAACAGAGAAGGCCAAGTGGTCCTCTCGTGTGGCGCAGCCATTCGCCTGCCCGCATCACCTGTGATTAGAATTAATGGCCCATCCCTTGTGTTGGGTAGCTTATTTCCAATCCATTTGTCAGCCCAAGACAGTGGTTACATGGGCAATGTTCAGAAACTCTGCTTTAGAACACGTCTGTGTACACCCTGGAAAGTCAGCATTTTTAAACGTGAACAACCTTTTATGAACAAGACACAAAATGTGCATATTTATGCTGAAGTCTGTTAAAAATCAATATCCAGATACTGAAGGATTAATGCTAGATTTTGGAACAACGTTCCTGCTGGCATCTAAAAACATTCCAAGCTAACGGGTGAGATAATGAAATACAATAATACAATTTTGTTTTTTTCTTTCCTTTTTTTTTTGTTTTTGGTCAGTCATGGGGATTGAACTCTGGGTCTGGGCGCTGTACCTGAGCTCTTCAGCTCAAGGTGAGCACTCTATCACGTGAGCCACAGTGCTGCTTCTGGGTTTTCTGGTGGTTAACTGAAGATAAGAGTCTCACAGACTTTCCTGCCTGGGCTGGCTTTGAACCATGATCCTCAGATCTCAGCCTCCTGAGTATTTAGGATTACAGGCTTGAGCCACTGACACCCAGCACAAATTATTTTAACACACGAGGATTTGGAAACTAGGCCTATAGAAGAATAAGAATGGAATTTTTCTACCTTCAATTATATTCAGACCATAATCAGCATGTTTAATGAAAAGGTTTTTATTAAAGCCAACTCAGGTGCCCTGAGTGGTGTTTTAGTGGTGATGAGCACATTTAAAAGCTGAGGTGACATTAAAAGAGATGAATTAATATTTTATTAAAACTATTCTAGTTTGTTCAGCCTTTGCAGATGCTAAAAAAAATGATTATGCTTCTGACAGCGGCTCAAAACAAAATTTCAAAGGTCACCAAGCAATCCAAATGCATACAGCAAATCCCTTTCAAAGCAGACACACATTCCTATACATAGCACCAGAATTACAATTACAACAGTTAGAATTAGAACTGCTTGAGTTACTTACTGTGCAAATTAAAAAAACCCAAGTCCCCAAACCTGATCATAAAACACTGAGTGAAGAAAAGTTTTCATCTTCTTGTAGAGATCTTCAAAATACCACTGGTAGATACTTTGTCTGTCTCTCTACACCCTCACACACACACCCCTTAATCTCTTTCCTATCTACTTTGTCGGTTTGAGGTTGGTTCAACTATAGCTGCACCTGAAGGACAGCGCGCCACATCTGTCATCACCCAAGTTCTTACAACCAAGTTACCCCAAATTCCCGAAGCACCCTCCCCTCAGTAAACCTGCATTTCCTGACCTGCAGTCTCATTTTCACATTGTTTCTCCCACCCTACATTTCCTAAGGAAGAGGAGGAAACCACCTGGCCAAGTTCAGAGGAAAGAATGCCAGTCCAAGGAGGAGCACCGATGCTCACCCGTTATGGGCCCCAGGAAATGCTCCCAACACAGGGCACCCCACTAGGAGAGAATTCAAGGCCCGCTGCACCTATGATTTCTACCCTTTGTAGCATGTTTCTTGAAAGGTGTTTCACTGTTAAGGAAGACCGTCCTAACCGCCAGGCCTGTTTGGTTGACCTGTCACGTGTCCAGTTCTGACCTTGGCTGTGTTCATCAGCCTATCCCATGTCCTCAGCCCCGGCCTTGGCTCCCTGCTTTCATGACGCTGTGTCTTATGCAGCCTCTCCCTGGGCCGGGGGTCGGAGGTCAGTTCTAACTGTAATGTCTCATCCGCTGCTGCACTCTTCCCCTCGCACATGCCCCGCCCACATTTAGTACTCGAAATGGACACCTGAATAAAATACAAGCACACCTTAAAGGGTATTTGTGTTTCCTACAAAGCCTACCTAGACGGACAATAATCTTACTTCGTGACTTAACTCCCTGGGAAGAGATGGCCCCAAATTCAAGGTTTCACTCAATCATTCCTGTTGTTATTTCTTAATCTTTGGTCTCATTTGGAAAGTGAGGGGCCATGTACCCCCGTTCTTACTGTGTGGCAGGATTCTCAGCTTTTCTGTTCCTTTGGTGGCTATGGTCCCGTGCACAGTTTTACTTCTTAGTCTCATCTTTCACACAGGTTCCTATGGTATGTCAAACATATTTGAACAGACTAGTTTCCTTATGATTCTTTGATTTCCCAAGTAGGAACCAGGTATTTCAATGAGCTATTTTTATTCAAGAAAAAAAGATCATGTAGAGTGAGAAAATTAGTTACAAAGGGATAAGGAACGTGAATGTTCACCCTGAAATCAACCTCTACATCCCAAACACCTATTCTTTTTTCGTGTGTGTGTATGTGTGTGTGTGTGTGTGTAAAACACCCAGGTCTTTATTTTTAAGTTATCAGGCCTATCTTTTGAGTTTTGTTTTCTGTCCCAGTCCTTGAACTCAGGGCATATATGGTGAACTTTTTTACTCAAGGCCAGATGCTACTTACTTGAACCACAGCTCCAATTTGGACTTTTAGATGATTAAGTGGAGATAAGAGTCTCATAGACTTTCCTGCCAGGGCTGGCTTTGAACTACAATCCTCAGATCTCAGCCTCCTGAATAGCTAGGATTATAGGTTGAGGCATTGGGGGCTGGCTTTAAGGGTAATTTTAGAATTATATATGCATAAGGAACACTGTGAACATTCAATTTCTCTAGCCTGTGAATTACCCTCTCCTCCAAATACCTAAAATAGCCAAAAGCAATTAAGTACTAATTACACAATTTCTTTTTTTTTAAATAAAGGGGTGATTTTGAGTCACAGAATAAAACACATCTGAAAGTAGTTAACATACACTTAAGAATCACAGGGAGTGTGAAGACTACTAAGAAAAGATTTTTTGTTGTTCTGTTTTATTCAAAGCTTTAAATTTAAGAAATACCAATATTCCAGAGAATCTATGCAAAGTTCCAGGTCACAGTTTCTGAAAAATGAAATGTTAAGTCTGATGTGTTTTTCATCTACAAATTTGTCAAGTTTCCTGATACTCTGTGTGTAAGATTTAAAACGTCCCTTTCAGCACCCTGTGTATCTTTACTAAATTGAGGGATGGCAATAGCTTATGTTTGAGCCCCAGTTAAAACTAATGTATCTTTTCTACCCCAGCATTTTGTTTGCATTCTATTTTCCCCCAAACGTGGCCTGATTTAGTATTTAGATATAGGACTTTTGCTCCTCGTTGCCTTAGGTTCTTAAGAGTAAGTTTCACTGTGTTTTCTACTTAGGCAATCAGTACGAGAGGAGGCCATGAGGCACAACCTGCACCAGGGTGCACGGGACAGACACGTGCCGAATGGAGACACGGCGCACATAAATGAAATCTTTACAGAACCCCAAATTTCATTACAGCCATTAGTTTCAACCTCTTCCCCCAAAGCCTCTTATCAAAGCCACTAATAAGGACCACAACTGACTGCTCTGACCTTGGCCTCTTCTTATGTCTTTAGGGGACAATACCAGGGAAATCTGAAGTGCTCTAAAGACAGGAAACAAATGGAGGTCAAGAAGCTGGAGCAGAGTAAAAAGATGTGAGGTAGCTTAGTTGGTCCCTGCTGCCTGGTGGCGGCAGGGACAGGGGACAGATGCATCAAAAAAGTAAAACTTGTACTTCAAAACAATCATTCTACGTCCTTTAGGTTTAATGCTTGAATAAAAGGACACACACACACACACACACACACACACACACACACTTCATAGAATAAGAAGGCTCAAAACAAGACAGGCTACTTACTGGGAGGGCATGAGCTGTGATTCAAGGCCTGAGGCTAAGTTCTTCTAAAAACAAAACAGAACAAAGCAACAAAACCCAAGGGCCTCACACAGTCATTAGAGCCTTTTCCCAATCCGGACTTTAGAGGAGCATTTGGTGTGAGTCGTGGTCAGCCCCGGCTCCATACAGTCACGTGGTCTTTCTGTGAGGCCAGCAGACGCTGAGAGCCAGTGTCCTCACAGAGAGACACAGTGAGCAAGGGCAGCCCATGTGCACCTGCGGCTGTGAACACGCCAGCCGTGCAGTCCCTCCGCCCAGGGCCTGACCCCGCGA